TGCATGGTTCTTGAGCTACGACTACTGAATAGACAGAAAGAACAATGGGCTATTGCTGCGGTGTCATATCAATAATAATATTTATTATTACATGAAAATGGAGGAAATTTTATTGCAATTTTCATGTATTAACAAATATTTTCGATATGACAACTGACAACGCAGCAATAGCCCATTGTCCCCTCTGTCTAATCAGTAGCCGTAGGTCAAGAACCATGCAACGGACTATATATGTATAGTTGAACAAATTGAAAGTTGATCATCAGGTTTCGATAATAAATATGCAGTTAACGCTTATCAATCAATCAATGTTTTGAGATATTATCACCAACCAATTAAAAACATATATTATTGTATTTCTACCTTATAATGTTATAACAAGGTTGTGTCAGCAATGTAGGCTGTCATCACAAGTACCTATCCTAGCACTAAGATGACAGCAGAATAAGGGAAAAAGGTACAGGAAGCTATCCTCCAGGAAATCTGGAAGTGCCAACCTGGAAAAGGATCCAAGTTCAACCATAGCCAAGCAGAACAGGGCATGGTTCATTTCTATTGCGCAGACAACGAGGCTACGAAATGGCTGATAATGGTAACCTCAAAATTGAACCCCTGAGAAGGGGCAAACCTGAGGGTACTACCATCCAAGGATGTCGCTCTCAGAGTGAGGGTATCGGTGCGCGGTGAACCGGCACGTTGGTTCTTGATCAAGGACGTGAGAGACGGCCTACTCAAGCCAAGCAACGTGGTGTCGGGATGGAGATTGGATGGGTGACCGCAGTAGTATGGGACGGTAGGTCGCCCGCGCTGCCGCCAATCATCAGATCTCCAAGTATGAATGAGAAGTATGAATGAGAAGGAATTGAGCCCATACAAATGAAATACAAAAAGCCTATAAAGGCTGCAGTGTAGAGTATGGGCTCGAAAGGGTGAAATTAAAAAAAAAAAAAAAAAAGTATCGGTGTGGATACCCAAAGAACATCTTGATGCTGATAACCCGACAAGAACACTCCTTTGTCTAAAAACCCAAAACAGGGGGATGACTGGAAGGTGTTCAACATCAAAGTAGAATCAAAAGGCTCCATTCTCGTTGTGGGAGTAGACGAGAACTTTCTGAAGGTGCTAACCAAGAAAGAATTTAAGCTCTACCTTGGCCTCACGATGCTTACCTTCAGGGTCCTCGATCCTATTCCCAAAAATGCTGCGGGTCCTTCAAATCAACCTGCAGCATAAGAAGGCTGCAACTGCTGCCTTCTGCAAATCCTTCGAGGCAGGGGGCATTGACGAGGCTCTGATCCAAGAACCCTGGATGTCAGGGAACAGAATCATGGGTCTAGGCAACATCGGAGGTAAGTTAATCTGTAACTCAAACTCAGAGAATGTTAGAAGCTGCATTATTGCAAACAACAATATTAATGCAATAAAAATGACAAATTTTTACTTTAGGAACATGGCAGCAATACAGCTTGACTACCAAGAAGCAAGGAACACTAAGGAGCTCATTATAACTTCTGTGTACCAGCCATATGACTCCCCTAATCCACCTCCATCTGCAGAGTTGGAGAGATTAGTGCAAAACTGTGGGCTAAATAATCTACAGATTCTCATTGGAGCCGATGTCAACGCTCATCACACCTAGACATTCTGAATCAGGTAACTAAACCTACTTTTGCAACAAAAAATAAGCAAGAACGTATTGATGTAACTCTGGCGTCTCTCGGAATAAGCTCTCAAATAGGTAACTGGAAGGTAGATGATGAACCGAATCTCTCATATCATGGGTACCTATATTAAAATGGAAATCAAACATATTGATAAGCCACAGCGTGTACATCGCAACCCTTGTAATACTGACTGGGAGAAATACCGACAGAACCTAAGACTAAACCTGACTAACATTAAAACGGTAATTAAAACGAGACCAGATATAAAGGAGGTATGCCTGCAATTGTAGGAAGCTATCCAAACCTAATATCATGAAAACTACGCAGAATCGAGGCAAACCACCCGCAAACAAAAGTGGTAGAATGCAAGCCCCGAAATGCTTAGGAAAAATACAGGAAAGCTTTTTAATAAAGCAAAGAAAACCGGAAACTGGGAAGCATAGCAGCAAACCCTAACGGAATGCAACAAAGAAATCCGGAAAGCAAAAATAGAGTCCTGGAAGAAGTTGAAAACACTTCCAAAAGAGCCCGTTTCCAGAAAATTCTAGCCAAGTCCGATAGAACCGACAGGAACCATTGAAAAGCCTGACGGGAACTTCATAATAAATGGGGAAGAAACTTTCAGTTTACTTCTGCAAACCCATTTTCCGGACTCCACCGAAGTGACCCCTGATAGCAAAAACCCATCAAGCCGGTCCGCTTTCCATAATGAAGCGAAAAAGGAGGACTTTGCTAAAAAAGCGGTAACTTACGATTGCATAAAATGGGCAATAGGCTCATTTGACAACTCCGAATCACCGGGATCAGATGAAATAATACCAGCACAAGAGGCAGTGGATCTTGTAGCACCACACCTCTGCAGGCTGTGTAAAGCCAGCTTGGCAGCAGGCTATATTCCTGGGTCCTGAAGAGAAGTAAAAGCTGTCTTTATCCCAAAACCTGGCAGAGACCCATTTCAGGCCAGATCATAAATACAGCTTATCGTCCTTTATGTTGAAGGTGACAGAGAAACTAGTTGAAAAGCACATCAGGGAAACCTCACTGAAACAGAGGCCACTTCACCAAAACCAACATGCCTTCCAACCAGGTAAATCATGCGAATCAGCTCTACACGAACTGGTGACAAGAGTGGAGAACTCACTAGAAAACAAGAAAATCGCATTAGTGGCATTCCTTGACATAGAGGGAGCCTTTGACTACTTCTCCTCCAACTCCATGGTCAGAGCTGCTGGGCAATATGCGATTAATGATACCACATACAGATGGATCAAATCCATGCTAAAACACAGGACTATATAAACTCGACTATTGCTGAAGCCTCTATTAAAGTAACCGCGACAAAAGGATGCCCACAGGGCGAGGTACTTTCACCACTATTGTGGAATCTTGTCGTGGTTGAAGTTCTGAGGAAACTACACGATCAAGGCTACTTGACCCTAGGCTACGCAGATGACATAGTCGTTGTCATTAGGGGAGGATTTATTAAGACGGTATCAAACCTCATGCAGGACGCCATAGGAATCATTGAAGAATGGTACACGAAGGAGTAACTTCGCGTCAACACCTTCAAAACAAAACTCATTCCTTTTACGAGAAAAAGAAATCTGGAAGACTCAATCGCCCCCAGTTTATTCCAAAAAACCTTGGAGTTTTCAGGGAAGCTTAATTTCTAGGCGTCATCCTAGATATGAAGCTGACATGGAACCAACACATCCAAAAGATAACCACTAAAAACAAGATGACGTTGATGTCACTAAAAAGAGCGATTGGGAAAACATGAGGACTAAAACCATCAAATGTACACTGGATATACACTACGGTTGTAAGACCAATGATTACATATGGTGCAGTTGTATGGTGGCCTAAAGTAAACCAAAGACGAGCAAACCTGAAGTTAGCCATAATCCAGAGACTTTGTATCACCGGTGCACAGAAAAGCACACCAACGGCAAGTATGGAAACGATCCTAAACCAATTGACCCTATCGTCAAAGCGGAGGCTAGAATCGGGGCATACTGTCTCCAGCTGAACAAAACCTGGAACCCAAAACCAAATGGCCATGCGGCAATCACCAAAATAATCACAAAGCCTATTGTAATCTTGGGTAGCGACTATATGATGCTGAAAAAATCCCTCGAAAAACCCTTCGCCATCGAGATTGTCCCAGTAGGAAATACCGGGGCAATACCTAAACAAGAAATTGTCTGGTTTACTGACGGCTTCAAAACAGAAACTGGAATCGGCGCTAAAGTATATGGACAAACTCCCAGATGCGACATCAGTCAACCTCTGGGAGAGTACACTATTGTATTCCAAGCAGAAATATATGCCATAGACTCCTGTCTGAGAGAAAACCTGAGGAGGGGATACACAGATAAAAACATCCTTATCTGCTCAGACAGTCAGGCGTCGATTGAAGCACTCAACAGCTTTGAAACAAAATCCAAACTTGTCTGGGAATGCTTGGAAAATCTCAAAAACCTAAGTATGTCTAGCAAGGTAACCCGTAAATGAGTACCAGGGCATAAAGGAATTGAAGGAAATGAAAAAGCAGATGCTCTGGCAAGAGAAGGATCAGAAACTAGTTATACTGGTCCTGAACCGGCAATTGGCACCACAAAATCTGCGGTAAGAACAAAAATAAACCAATGGGTGTATAGCCAATACCAAACTTACTGGCAAACTCTTCCGAAGCTCAAACACAGTAAGCTAATGGTACAACAATTATCAGCTAATCTGAAGAGATCCTACAACTAAACAGGAATCAAATCAGTCTAATAACTGGACTCATAACTGGACACTCTAGCCTGAGAAAACACCTTCACACAATGTGCATCCTCCAAGAAGAACCCATATGCAGACTTTGTGACGAGGAGGATGAAACCGCCACCCACATAATCTTCGAATGTGAGGCTTTACGCTGGTGGAGATATACACAGATGAACCAGAAGACCCTATCTCTAAACTCACCAAAAGTAACACGGTGAAGAGGCTCATAAATTTAATCAAGCTGACGAAACTTTTCACTGACTAAACAGACGAACAGGACAATACAATAAACCGACGACGGCTGCAGTATTGTTCACGCTGCATCTCAACCAACCAACCAACCAACCTTACAATGTTAAAGGAAATGTCTATCAGATTTTTTTTTCCGTTGGAACTTAACCTATCTAATTTTTCATTAATGTGTTACCTAATTAAAAATAACTAAAAACTATAATTAGTGTAGTGGAACATGAAATTGGAAAGGAACACAGAAAAATGAAACTAAACATTGTTAGATCGTCTTAAAAAAATGTATGTTTTTTTTCATTACATTATTGTACAAGTTTTCTAATTACTGGTTCGAGTCAGTTTACAATAATCCGTAATTGCAAACTGAATAATCATCAATGCCATATATAAAAGGCGATTTTTGAGAAAAAAAAAATTGTTTTAAAATGTATCGGAATTTTTCTTTTATAATTTTGTTTTTCAGTGGTTTTGGTTTAGTGTACAGCAAGGAGTTGGCTAATGTATGTGAAAGTTATGATGGCTATTTTACTGATAAAAATACGAATCCGGAATGTTTCTATGATCCAGACTTAGATGCCAATGTTGTAAGTGCAAAATATCTATTTCTTAAATTTCTAAATTGGACATTGGACAATTTAGACTTGGTAAAATCAAATCCAATTTTATTAAACGGCATGGAGTGCTTCAATTTTACTGAAACTGACTGTGGAAAAAAGTTCGTTCAAACATGCATAATTTTTTTTGAGGAATCATATATATAGTCCAATAAAAACTATTTAAAGTGGCAAACCTTGTTTTCCAACCAATTATACTCAAACCACTTCCTATCAATGGTTCCGCAGGCTAATCTCCATTTTTGGAAGTTGTTAAAAACACCAAACGTGCCTCAGGTTAAAATCCTTTTAAATTTTGCATGTGATGTTTACCCTTTACATGTCCTGCCACTTCTTTTCCTTTAAAGTGGTTTTGATGAAAGTTTTTTCCACGCTACCATTTGAAAAAAAATCACGTTTTATCCAAAAAAAAAATTACTATCTTTTATTTTGATTTGCAACATTCTCAGATAGGCGATTTGGTTGAATTCTCTATCGAAAAGGTTTTCAAGCTCTCGTGCATTCTTTGTCATATCAATGTCGAAATGCTCTTATGGAAATTCACAAAGTAATGAGCCCATTTGAGCGTCTTCAAGCTTTCATCTTGTTGAGTTGACCAGCATTTTCACCTGTTGCAAGCAACAGCAGACGAAATGTATTTAAGATAAAGATAGCAATGTTAAAAAAAAAGGCGAATAAATGAATGTTTGACATAAAAATAATTTTAGGAACAAAGAGCTGTAAATCACGGATTATTAGCAGAAAAGCACTATATTCGCACTGAAGATAGTTGGATATTGATTACGTTTCGTTTGAAAAACTTGAATGGAACGTATGGAAAAGGAGTCGTTTTTCTTCAACATGGATTGGGTACAGACGCGACCAGCTTCACGGGAAACGGAAATAAATCTATTGGTACTCAATCCACACTTAACAAAGTCCAGTTTTGACCAAAAAATCTTTCCAGCTTTTTTTTTAGCTAAACAAGGCTACGATGTTTGGCTGGGAAATTTCCGAGGCACTGATTTTAGTAGCAGTCAAAATTTACAAAACAAACAATTTTGGGATTTTAGGTAGGTAACACGTATTTAATAAATTTATGAGTTATTAATTATCATGAACTCCTTTTTTCAGTTATCACGAACATGGTTTATATGACTTACCAGCAAACTTCAAATACATAACAGCTAAAACAAAATCTAAAATATATTATATAGGCCATTCCATGGGTGGTTCCGCAATTGCTGTTTATTTCTCAACAAAACCAGAGGAAGCATTGACATTTGTTAAATATACGACATTTTTGTGTGCAACTACTTATATGAGACACACTAAAGGACTCCTCAACTTCAATATCATTAATAATTTATATGCATTATTATTGGTAAATCCTTTTTCATGCAACAACAAGTACACATACCTAGTTGTATTTATATATTTTAAGAATTGGATCCCACAAGCTGTCTTGACTGGTCTTGGATTTACTAATATTTCCGGACTAGAGTCAATGTGTTTTGCATCGAGGGAAAATTTAAGGGTTTGTACTCGCCTTAATGAGTATGTTGCCGGTTCTGGAGTAGGATATAAGATGTCACCAGTAAGTACTAGTAGATCTGTATTCAACTTCTTATAAGGTTTGTTTTTAGGAAAAATTCCTCCTAGCATGGCGGGCTATCAAAAACCTAGGCGTTAAACAAATGCTTCACTTCGCACAAACAATTCATTCGCGTGATTTTAGGATGTTTGATTACGGGCCGCGACAAAATATGATCCGCTACAACTCTATAATACCCCCGCCTTATGATTTGTCGAAATTGCCCACCAATATCACTTTGATATATGGTGCTAACGATTATATTAGTACAAAGGAAGTAAGTATAATCTAATTCCTTTTCAGCTATATCTCAAAATTGAATTTCTAAACAAAATAAAATAAAACGCTAATTAGGCCCGATACAAGGGATTATTCACTGGTTCTGAGGACCTGTTGATCACAGGTGATCCGAGTTCAGTGTGTTGTACCAAAGCAAGATATGTATGTATGTATGTGTTGAAGGTGTGAGTTGCGCTGCGACCAAGGTTGATCTATTATACCTAAGTTCGGGTTTCCTACTCAAAGCAGCCCCTCTAGTCCTAGGTCCTTTAGGAATTCTAGGATATCTAGCGCTTCCAGGGCTGGAATATCTTCCAACTGTATAAGGGGACTTCCCAGGTTCAGTAGAAGATGGTGAGGTGTCTTTTCTTCATCTTCACAATGAATCTTCCGGTGCCGCCTTCTTCCGACCCCAATTTCTGTAAGTGTTTCTTACGTCTGCAATGCCTCGAGAGAAATCCAGTTTGTCTTGGGACTTTTCTTGCTAAGTTTGACCAGCAGTTCTGATCTGTTTTGGTTGAAGGTGCCCAATAGATCTTTGGCCTGTCGTAATCCTGGCTGTTTTAGCCATTGCTTGTTCCTCAGCTGGTTTTCTCCGTTTTGATGATTTCTTGGAACTGCGCATTTCTGACGTCGCAAAATGGTTCTGGCCAAGTGAAAAGAGTGGATGCTTCCGTTCTTGCGAGTCTGTCTGCGTATTCATTGCCATCGACCCTTATGTGTCCAGGCACCCAGAGGATGGTTAGTTACTCTGTTGTCTTTTTCCAGCTCATTGAGTTTCTGTAGATGTTCCCATACTATCTTAGAATTGATGACCGGGGAGCTTAATGCTTTGATAGCTGCTTGGCTGTCAGACAGACATTATACAATCTCTCGTTTTTGATAACATCTGTTCAGGTTGAACTGCACGCATCTTCCGATCGCATGAAGTTCCGCTTGAAATATGCTTGGTAATTTTCCCATTGGCTCCGATAATCTGGTACGTGGCCCGAATACTCCGGCCTCCGGCTTCAGTTTCCTCTGTAGTTTTGGAACCGTCTGTGTACCATTTGATGGTGTTTGCTTTGAGGGATTGGATAGATGTTATGTTTCATCTTTTTTTTTGTACTTAGTTCGATGGAAAAGTTTTTCTCGAAACTGAACTTATCAACAATTACGTCTTTTGGTAGATCCATGAGGTGTGCACAGTTTGGCAGAGGAAAAGTCTGCCAAAGTGCGTTTTCCCTTGTAAACCTATCTTCGCCAGACTGAGACATGATCCACTGGCAATCCGCTTTATCCACTATTATGTGAAGTAATGTGAGTTCTAGGATGACTTCCAGTGCCGCGGTTGGGTATGATCTCATTGCTCCTGTTATACAGAGACAGGCAAGTCTTTGCACTTTTCTTTGGGTTTTCCTAGCTGTTACTAGCTGGGTTCGGCTATACCAGGCTACCGTTCCGTAGGTGATGATAGGACTCACCGTCATGGTATACATCCATCGTAGGATTAATGGGTCCAACCCTACGTTTTACCCGCAATGTTTTTGTAGACCATGAGTACCGAGATCGCTTTGTTTTTTGTGTTCTCTACACATCGGTTTCTGAGAAGTTTAGAATCTAGGGTAATTCCTAGGAATTTAACAATGTTTCCCATGTTTGAGAGTTTCGTTGTTTTGTAGTTTGCTGTAGTAGCGTCACCTCTAAAACATTTGTTCTGATGTGGTTATTTACAACTTTCTTAGCTGTTTTCAGTTAGAACGGCGTGAGACATATAAGTTCTGAACGACTTCGGAAGAATGGCGTCCCTTTTCCCTGCCTTTGGGACGAGAGTTACTTCAGCTCTTCTCCATTGACTGGGTTTGTATCGGGTAGCTAAGCTGTATCTGATGAGTTTGATTAAATACGGATATAATTTTGCCCTTTTTGCAGCAGGGCTGAAAAAATGCCGTCAACTCCAGGTGACTTAAACGATTGAAACGACTCAATCGCCCAAGTAAGCCGCTGAGGAGTGCAAAGGTTTTGGCAACCTCCCAATTTTCTTGCCTGGTTTTCCTGGGCCGTCCATTGTTTTCATCAGTATCATTGAGTATACCTCCTGGAAAATGAGCTTCCAGTAGTAGACCAGCTCGTTGCTCTTCATTTTCTGTGTTACTACAGTCTGGTTTCTTAAGTGTTAATGGTTCTTGCGCCCTGCCTTTTACCAGAGTTTTGTATAGTCTGGCTGCTGATGGTGTTTCTGTGATAGTCTCCGAAGTTTTTCTCGTTTTGGTCTTGCTTATTTCTTCGTTGTACTCAGTCAGCCTTTTCGTGTAGCTCTGCCTTTCTCCGTCTCGTTTGGCTTTGATGAAAAGCCAACGGTGACTATTCCACCATTGGCTCGATCTCAGATAAGTAAATATATTTTCAAGGCCAGACGATTAAACACGAAAAAATCGTCAATCATTAATATCAATTATCATACAGGTTTTCAAAACTTATGGTGCAATATTCCCAAATTCTGTTATTGTTTGAAATATTGGTAATATTGCTCATAGACGATCCTCTCAAAACATGTGTGCCCAAATGTCTAAGTATTAAGTCTCAATAATCCATTGATCCTCAAAATCCCCTAGTCTGTTTTTTCTCAGTCATCTTTCAGACTTCTGCGTCTCTGTAGTTCAGGCTTCTGAGTTCTTCTGCAATCTATGTAATGGTCATGGATTATGGCGTACAGCTTCTTATCTCTCTGGAGCTAGTACGTAAAACGCGGCTTGTTTTCTGCTTGCAGGACTATAAGGCAATTCCTGTACTATTGGGAAAGATCTTCGTACTCGTCCCAACTACCTTGGCATGTTCGAATTCCTTGTTTTTTTGTTTTTTTTTTTTCGAGTAAACCTCTTGAATTGTGGTTTAAGCGTGATTCATTTGATACGTATTTGCATCGACATGTCACCGTATTATCAACGATACGCTGGACGACGCTTAATTCACATTGTTTTGCCACGCCACTGTGTTCGACAAAATGGATTTCAATGATGAAGAATTGGCTGTTGTGGCCTCTATTTTAGATATGGAGAAGAAGGATTTCGGTACATGATATATTCCAATCAAGAAGCAGAATATCATACTTTATTCAGAAGATTGGTGAACGATGAACTCCGACAAGACTAAAATAGTTGGAACATTTCCAGCCTGTTGGCCCTACGGATTTTCCTGCAGCTTTTGAACGTTTTATATTCTGATCTAGTTGATTTTAATTGAAAACGCACAAACAACACTTCACATTTCTCATATTCCTAGGTATCCCATATATTTTTTTTGTCGACGCACTGGAAGTGGCCAACCGCTTTCCTTGTAAATTGTCAATTGAATACCCGGAAAATACCTAATTTTGGTTCGGTTAGGAAGTTTTCTGTGGTCATGGTCAAAATTAAACATTGAAATTTTATTAATTTTTTTTTAATTGCTATAGAGGAAGGTGACACAGATCCCTTTTAACAAATTCTATGAAAACTTTTTGCCATTAAAGGTTTTTTTGTTTATTCAAATATATTTTCCGGTTTTTATAAAATTAGGCATCTAACTTAGGTATGTAAGTGTAATTCAACATCTTTGAACAAAATTTTTTATAGTCCATTTATTTGAATGGATTCTTGTCTCAAGGATGCCCGCAGTGTGGCCCACCTTGAGGCAAGACAATAATGAAACAAAAAAAATCTAAGAAAACATGTTTTTTTCTGGTAACTAGAACTGTTAAAAAAAAACTCCGACAATAATCTTTACACAAACACACAATAAATAATTCTTGTTTGTCTAACAGTATCCTAGCGAACATAGATGATATCAAATTTTGTGATGAAAAAAATATAGGGTTTCTTCCGTTTTCGCGAACAGCAACATCTTATTTTTTTTTTCCATTACAAAGTTTTTTTTCGATAACCAGATGCACTGTGACGCAGAAATCTCACTCCAGAATCATCACCATCGTTCATTTCAATAAGAGGTGGATATTTTTGTTTCGTGTGTGGCGAAAATAGTAACAATAGATAGCTGACGCTATTAATAAAAGAACAAAGCTGTAGAATTTACATAAGAGACGAGATATTCGAAGAAAAGCATTGTTCAGTATAGTTGAAAACTTTTGACTATGTTCAGAGAAATGCATGTGCTGAACTGTTTTTAAGCAAAAACTGTAATTACGTATTTATGTAGGTATGTTACTTTTTTCTTTACAGGATACTCTATATGTTTTCAACAAATACGGAAAGCGAAATTGGGAAGTCTATGAAATTCCCTATAATCATGTGGATCATTTTTACGACTATAAATATGCTGACAAAGCTTTCTTTCCTCTGTTACTTAAAAGTATAAATAAACATATTTGAGATTTACTTTGCATTTTTCCAAATCAAATAGTTTCGCAATCTATTCAGATATAACTGGGTCTGTGGACTCCATATCCGGATGACTGGTGCTAATTTCACAAACTGTAAAATTCTTAAATTCAAATTATTTTCAATTGGTGAACCCTTCCAACGATAATGTTGCTTGAAAGACAAACGAATAAACAAATATCAGTAGGTACTTGGGAAAACTGGGAAAAGTGGAAGCCGATCTTTTCAGAGCAGATCAAATGTATAACTTATCAGGACATAGCTTGAAGCTTCTTGTTGAAGACACATTCACCAAGAAACAAGTACTTCCAGAGGAAATACATCTACTGGCCTGAAATTACATCAGCGCATCTGTTGAAAATTGATGAAATGGATTCAAATGAAGTTAAGCACAATGATGTTGGAAATGCGGCATGATCTGGCTGTGGAATGTTGCATCCTTAGAAGAGTACATCAATTTCCAATTTCAATTTTGTCAAAATATTTTGGATAATAAAAATAAAACAATATCCTTGGTTTTTGTTTTGTCATTTCTAGTATCTAAATAAGCCTCTGCTTTAAGGTCCTACCTGAATAAACACACAAAATTATTGCTCAAAAATAAGGCGAATAAAATATTCCTTGGGTGCGACTTCATTATTATAATGTTATGGAGAGATTTATCCGCTTTGAAGAATTTTTAATTGCAAGTCTCGTCGGAGCTTTTCAATTTAAATTTCAAGTTCGGTGGTCAAGTTAGATGAAGGAGAATATCATTAGATCCCTTTCTGTAGCCGAAGTTTTAAAATAAATAATAATCAAGGAAGCTGGCGATAGAATGTTATTTCTATGTGAAAATAAACATTAAATTGATAAACAAAAACTGACGAACCAATAATTGAGATCATAATTTTTTAACGTCAAAAATTTTTACCAGCTGAATGTTCGCCAGCGGTTGGTTGGCATTTAATGTGCGTTACATGCATCTTTGAATATTACCTGCTAGATAAGTAAACATAGATGACTAACATCAAAATAAATGATACTTCATCTTTAATACTTTTCCTTTCTTCCAAGATGGCGTTTTTAAAGGACCCCGCAGTAACCTTATGGAAAATGGCTTCTGTCAAATTGGCTGAGATTTCGATATTGTGATTAAAAGTTATCATTGCACGAAAATGATTCCATGTACAGTTTTTTAGTAAATTGGATTTAGAGATGGTATTGGAAACGCATGTAGCTTAATAGGTAGGTGCTCAACGCTATCAATCGATTCTGGAAGAGCCAAACTGTCGAATAGTGATGTTGAAGTCTAGGATCAGTGATTTATAGCTCAACCCAGATATATACATTTTTTTTCTGTTTCCACAGTTTGGCTTTTTGAGTATCGATTGATACCGTTGAGCACCTACCTATTGAGCTTCATGCATTTCTCATACCATCTTTCAAGCCCATTCACTCGAAAACTGTACATAGAATCGTTTTTACGCAATGATAACTTTTAATCAGAATATCAAAATCTTCCCAATTTCAAACATTCAGCCAATTTGACAGAAAGCCATTTTCCATAAGGTTTGTGCCTGTGTGTCCTTTAAAATCCGATGTTTCGTTAACCAGAAAGCATCATCAACTTAATTTTTTTTTTTTAATAATGCTCCGGATTTGTTATTTAGGTTTTTGTTACCTTAAAGCTACCCATCACAACTTCTGATTTTCAAACGGTTCGATCAGAAGCACCGACATTTTCGGTATTTTATCAAAGGTAATATTTAGTAAGACATGAATAAATGAAGTAGTTATTTCTCGTATAGGTACTTTTGTATCATCTGGGTACCTTGGCGAGTTCCTCCGGACGGCCTTTTGGACTATCTGCCCATATAATAATAATGCTTTATTGTCAGCGAAGGTTAGAGTCGCACCATGATTTAATGGCAAACAAGTCGTTGGACATGGTTCTACGAATAGCTACAATATCCGGGTTGCTCCAAGTGAAACAGGTATCATCGGCAAAAGAAAAGATTTTACCGCTGGTGTCTAGACTAGCAATGTCGTTGATAAACAGCGAAAATAATATGGCGCAACTGGTCCAGTATGCTGTATCATAGGAGAGAATGGAGTGAAGTAGATGGGAAATGAAGGTTTATGAATGATGACGATCTAGTCTCTCAGAATTACGGGAAATGAGTCGAATTTCAATAATTCCTTGCTAATTTTCCGCCCTCAAGACTTGTTTACACGAGTCAAGCTGCGGGTCAAGTAACTTTCCCTCGCACTTGCCTGGTTATGTTCTAGTTGACTTGACTCGCCGATAAGAAAATCAAACGCGTTTTCACGTGTAGTTCAGTAGGGGCACAGATCGATTTGACATGGCGGAAAATCGCATTGTGTACTTGCCCCGCTTAACTTGACTCATTTGTTTACATTGGAAAAATAAACGGTCAAGTAGGAACAAGTTATAAAAGTGATAATAGGGGTGATAGTCAAGTCAAGCATTTTGTCCACTGTGCAATCTCACTTGCCTTGCTTCACTACTTGACCGGAACTATTTACACGATGCAAAAGTAAACAAAATACTTGACTTTACCACTCTACAAGATACAAGATTGTTTACTTGACACGTGTAAACTCCGGTGAATCGATAGTTTTTCAAATGTTCTTGGTGGACATGTTCTCTTTTACTATTTCTTAAACATCACGTAACACATAAAGTCATTTATAACCCTTTAGGGGCCATTTCGAGCCGTAATTGTATGCAGTGGTTTAATGGTATATTCTGCAGTTAAAATGGTAAGTAGGTACACTCGGTAGAACGGGAGCAAAAAAAAGCACACCGTAGGCCGGCAATAGACGAATCTGCTGCCAATAGATATGATCATAAAAAGCACAGGTGCAGAGGGAGCTCATAGACTAAGTGAATCCAAACTGTCGAAGGAAACCGATTATGGACACTCGGCAATACTTAAGGATACAGCCAAAATGATGGACTACTAAGAGGCCGAAACATTCCTTAAGGCAACAGACTACATAGTGGCCAAATATTCTTTCGAGGACAGGAGAAAGGTCACTATGCCTTCAAGAGAAGACTGGACTCAACCCCTATGCCTACATAGGGAGAATGAGATAGCAGTCTTCACAAATGCCGCAAAAACAAAAATCGGTACCGGAGCCGGAGTATACTCAGAAGGACTAGATGTTCAAGAGTCATACAAATTCAGGGATGATTGCAGCATCCTCTGTATGTATATATTACCTCATGACGTAGACGTTGTACATCCAGTAGAAGATGTGGCAACTGCCTCAGCCTTTTACCTATCACATTTCAGACATGTTCAATAGGCGATAAGTCTGGTGACTTTGCGGGTCATGGATGAAGGGTTACATTAACTTGCTGGAGGAAGTTTCTAGTAACTGCAGCGATATGTGATTTTGCATTATCTTGTTGAAAAATTGGATCTTGCAGTTGCTGAAGGTAGGGTAACGCGGCAGGTTGTAATGCGTTAATAATGTAGAATTGAGCGTTCATGTTTCTTTTCAAAAAAACTGCTTCCAACTGCCATGGCATCCCAAGCCATAACATTCTTAGTAAACACAGTCTCACGCTCCTTGCAAAAATGAAATTAGTGCCTTTCTTCACGTCTGCGACGGACTCTTCTACGTTGCCCTACCTTCAGCAACAGCAAGATCCAATATTTCTACAAGACAATGCGGGACCACACACCGCTACAGTTACTGGAAACTTCCTCCAACAAGCTAATGTAACCCTTCTTCCAAGGCCCGCAAGGTCACCAGACTTATTGCCTTTTGAACATGTCTGGGATATGCTAGGTAGAAGGCTGAAGCAGTTGCCACATCTTCTACTGGATGTACAACGTCAACGTGGTGAGATTAGCATGGGATGGGAGATATCGATCATCTGATTCGCAGCATGTCACGAAGAGTTAAAAAATGTCAAAATTTACTTTGAGGCGCAACTGACTATTGAATTGTTAAGAATTCCTGGGTATGCCAAGGTTATGGACGAGTATGCGGTTCTAGAATTGGTTTATTCGGCCATCATCGTGATAGCCTAGGATGATGATGGTTGTATATGAAGCATCAAGTTTGTTAGAGTGGTTAGATACAGTTAATGATTTTTTTTTTAATAATAATTTTATCAATTAAACGCAATTATTTTACAATTTGATGGAATTTGAGATTGATAAATAACATAATAAGTAAATAAAATTTATTATTCTAATTATTGTAAGAAATTATTTAAAATATTATATTTCGAGTTAGCTGCAAACAGATTGTGTATGGGTTATTATTTTTTTTTCAAGCCATCATAATTTACCTACATAATTATTATTTAGCTATCAATTATCGATAAATATAAATATAAAATGAGTTATCGATTTAAAAAAAATATCAGTTTCCGTGATTTCAGGCTAAGAATGTCTCTAAAAGATTTTCGTTTTGTTTTATTTTTTATAAGTCTTTGCTTGGTGTCCTGCAATGGGATGAATAATGTTTGCAGAACTTATGAAGCTTATTTTACAGATAGAGACAAAAATCCCGAATGCTTTTACGATCCAGATGTGGATACCAATTTGGTAAGTAACCACTTACAGGACCTTTTAGAAAAATACCGGACCAAAATTTAAATATGTCGTTGACGATTTTCTCCTTTTCGATATAGAGAACAAGGAAGGCTCATTTCGTTATTCATAACTACCTGAATTTTGTACTCTTCCAGAATGGCTTCGTGTAGTTTCTAACTAAAGCAAACGCCTGTATATGCATAGTCGATTGCCAATCACTTTTTTTTAAAAAAATCTGCTGTACAGCGTCGACCAAGAGACCTTCCTCATTTTCCTTAGAGATATAACGTTCTCTTCTAACAAATTGTTTCCTATGATAAAAACAGATATAATTTTTTTTTCTCGAAAACTGTTAGAGATGAACCTATCGAACTTTATATCATTGAAATCAGCAAAAGAAGAGCTGTCCAATAAGTTATTTATGGGGGTGTTTCGAAAATTGTATTCGCCCAAAATTTGACACTGTGTAAAAATTTGAGAGCTCATATCATCGATTTTTATTTTTTCAGTTCATCTAATCTAGTTTTTGTTTGTTACTTTAAATATTGTTTTGGATCAGAATTTTATTTACAAGTTCAAGCACAGTGTTTGTTCCTAGACATGTGTTTACCTTAATTATTATCTTGACCTTATCCAAGGAAAACCATTTAAATTTATCATGTCTGATGATGTGAAATTTAAATTGCTGCAACACAAATTAAACATTTAAATTTGTCCAAGTATTTTTTTCGGCTTGATATTTTTGTATAAACATCAATAAGGATAATTTCAAAATTGTACCTGATGGCTAAAATTATTGTCATTTAATAAAATTATATCATTTATAGATCAGGGCAAAGTATTAAAGTAGGAAAACTGGAATTTTTAATTAACCACTCGGACATAAGTTGCATTTGTAGGGTATTCAAAAATAGGTGTCTAAGAGTCATCTCAGTTCTTCAAACATATATGCACAACCAAAGACGCTAGAATGCTAGAATCTTATTGATGTTTAGGATAATTTGATCAACTCTATTAGATATTGCATTGATTGTCTCTGTTGGATGTCATTTGATTTTGCAATAAGTTTCCATATGCTTCGTTCGGTATTAACGTCTGATCAATCTTTTCGATCTGAAACGTTCGTTTATTGTATTTAGATGTAGGGGAGGAAAATCTAAACCATTCGTTAATTCTGCTCAAACCTGCAGTCGGAGTAATCTGCGATTGTGAGGTTATGTCGTAGTCTCGAATTGTCAACGTAGTTATTTTTTGTACAAAAATTTAATTGTCAGTACCTACCTAATCAGGCGCTTTTCTGCAGAAATATCTAACCCTAAAGCAGCTGAAATGGCCAAAAATTAACAGGAAATTCAAAAAAATTATGTTGATTCCACCACGACCATTTTTGGGATAGGTACTGTATAAGAAAAATTATCTTCAAGCACAGCCACTACTGAGAATAGTTAGAACTACACTGTCTCCATCCTATGTAAATTCAATTATACGCACAACGTGCATAATGGTAAAGTAATCCCCAAGAGCGCATAGCAGTCGGAGTTGTTCCTTGATTTTCTACTTTTAGTTTGTATATGTAGTTTGGAAGAAGTTATTCAGAAGTACAATAATGATACCTATTGCAAAGTTAAATAGTAGGTAATTCAATCAAATATAAATTCGTTATTTCAATAAATTACGTTGCCTGTGATGTTGACAAAAGTACCACCCCATCAAGGTTTTCTAGAATGTACTAAGATCTAATTTGAAAAATAATTTTAGGTACAAAGGGCTAAAAATCACGGATTTTTATTAGAAAGTCATGATGTTCCAACTGAAGACGGTTGGATATTGACTGCGTTTCGTTTAAAAAAAGTAAATGGACTCTATGGGAAAGGAGTTATTTTTCTTCAGCATGGAATGGCTACGGACTCTTCATGTTTTTGTGGAAATGGAAATAAATCTTTCTGTATTTTTCTGCCTTTGAAAATATTGAAATTTTAATCTATAGATTTTATTTTTAGCCTTCTATTTCGCTAACCTAGGATACGACATTTGGCTGGGAAATTTCCGAGGCACCGAGTTTAGTAGACATAAAATACTGCAAAGAAGTGATAAAAAATTTTGGGATTTTAGGTTATAAATATTTTGTAAATTTGTAAATTATTTATTATCATTTACCCATTTTAGCTATCATGAAAATGGCTTATATGACTTATCAGCAAACTTCAAATACATATCAGCCAAAACGAAATCTAAAATATTTTACATTGGCCATTCTATGGGAGGTAGTGCAATGGCCATTTATTTATCAATGAAACCAGAGGAAGCTATGGAATATGTTAAGCACACAACATTTCTATCTGGCAGTTTTCATATGAAAAATACCCATGGAATTTTCGGATTTAATTATGTTAATAATATGTATGATTTACTGGTAAGCACTATTTCACGCATTTCATGTCCCTATTTGAAATAATTTGAATTCTCAGATGCTATTGCCGAACACCAACATGAGCGTTCTCTTGGGTCTTGATAGTTTTGAAAGGCAATTTATGTTACAGTTTTGTCTTTCATCTTTGAAAAATGCCCATCTCTGCATAGGAATAATAGACAGTATTGCCGGTACTGAGGGATATGAGATGTCACCAGTAAGTGGTTTTATTTTTTTTATTTATGTTTTATGCGTTTCTTTCTAGGAAAACATTCTATTGGCACTCCCGTGCGGCAAAAATCAGTGCTTGAAACAAATGTTACACTATGTCCAAGCCATTCGAACGCAAGAATTTAGAATGTTTGATTACGGGCCGAAGGAGAATATGATTCGGTATAACTCTACAATACCTCCAAAATATGATTTGACCAAAATGTCTACTGATATAACTTTCATATATGGAGCTTACGATGGGCTTGCAACCAAGGAGGTGAGCGTTCAATGTTTATGCAAACTATAACTCTTTAGGAGATGATAATCCAATAAAGCTTCTTTTTGCTAATCGTTCATTGAGTAGATGAGAATTTCTTTCAATGATACGAATAATTGTTTTGAATAAGTGGAGGTTTGGACTAGGAATCTAGGTTTGAACATTAGTCGAAGCGACCTAACTTTTGGTCCTTATGTCTGATACCTATTTTTTTTACTTGCATTATACCATGTTTCAGGCACTAGAAAAATGGTAGAAGAGGCTCTGGCGCTAGTTATAATCTGGATCATACATTTTGAGATAGTGAAAGAGTCTTCTTCCTCTAAGGTTTACTATAAATAAAGATCTACGAGAACCACCCTGAGATCCTCCAACAACGGCCCTCCACTGCGATTCATTGGTCTCTTGTGGCTCATGCCCATTTATATTTCACCAATCATGCCTATTTCTAATGAAGTCCAAGATAGTGGTTGGAGAGACGTTGTTCAGGTCTTCTAGTGGAACCGTTGCCCCACCTAAGTTACGATGCCTCAGTCTGCTACCTGCCTGACATGACTCCCAGAATCATCATGTGGTATTGCAGTCTACAGTATCCAGTAGCCGATTTAGGTTTTCAGTTTAGTTCTGCCGAGCGCCAGCATCCTTCCAACCGAGCGTTCTTTCACCGGTTGTCTTATGATTGCCTTTATTGGTTTCATGTCTGGCAGGTTTAGCCAATGTTCGTAGGCTTTGTTGTCCGCCCAGGTTTTAATGGTTTCATTTGCCATGTTATGGGCACTGGAAACACTATGGAAAGATCCGCTATTCCGTTGCCCTCAAGGCCAACGTGTCCCGGTATCCACATTAGGGTTATCTTGTTTTCCTTTCTTTTGCTTAGGGCTTCCTGACAGCTCCAGACTATTCTTGAATTACACTAGGTGAAGCTAAGCGCCTTGAGAGCGACTTGGCTGGCAGAGCATATTTTTATAGTATTGTGAGTTTGGAGTCAATTCTGTACCCTCATCACACCCATTTCAACGGCATGCAGTTCCGCTTGAAAGATGGTTGCATTGTTCCCTAGACTGACGGATAAACTAGTTTTCGGTTCTGCACCATGAACGCCCACGCCCACTGTGTGTTTTCGATCTATCCGTGAACAGAAATAGATTTGCTTTTAGTGCTCATGCTGCTCCCACTCTTCCCTTCTTGGATGTGCCACTGTTTAGGGTGCTTGTGTGTGTTATTGGCATAAGGTTAGTCAGCATTCTCAAACGTCTATGTGTTTTGATGAACTCCAGCAGTTTGGTGCCTTCCACGTTCCCTTTGTCATCCACTTTATCTCTGTTCGTGTGGTATATTCTGTAGGTTGTTTTTATGGCCTACCTCTCCAGATATATATGTAGAGGGGAAATTCCTAGAAGCTTCATAAAGTCCTTTAAGCTACTACTACTAACCCAAATGTCCCAAGAAGTTTGTTTTAATTGTTCTTTTTTTTTATAGGATAATATTTATACATTCAATAAATACCGAAAGCCAAATTGGGATGCCTACGAAATTCCTTATAATCATTACAACTATTTATTTGATAGAAAATATGTCGATAAGATTTTGTATCCTTTGATATTAAAAATTATTAATAAATGAACTAAAAATTTATTTTGTATTTTAATCAAATACTAGCCATTTCCCACGGTTTCACCCGCCGTTAATTTTGAAAGAAATGGGACTATTTATAAATAATTTAGAGTACGTCATCAGACAATATTTTTAATCGACATTTAAAACAAAATTATTCTAGATATCGTGTGCATCTTTCGCTTTGCCCTTTACCTATTAGGTTGACTAAAATATAATAATATTTTCCATCAAAAGTTTATATTTTAAACTACGACCGCTAGTGCAAACAACTGATGACGTCAGAAAAAATGTAAACCATGAAATTGATTCGAAAAATCTATGCCGATAAGCAATCCTTTGCTTTGTAGTTTGTGATATCTATGTGAAAACTCTCAGACTCATATGTCAGACGATCAACATAACCTTCTTTTTATTCAATTATGAAAGGACCACGCTATCTGACGTGGCACACTTCGTATCGGTTATCAGATATGGCGCCGTATGCGGATTTAATAAATTTTCTTTACCAATTTATTTTTCGTGATTTTTTTCTATTTTTCAGTGCATGAAATTAATTTGCAGTCATCTTCATGTAGATATTCAATTTGGAAACAGCTTCATTTTTAATTTTGAGTAAATATACTGTTCGAAAATGTGAGAGGTCGTCCCTAAATAAAATAAAATATTTGACTCCTCCTGAAGATCTGTCATTCACTTCACATAAGTCGACATGTACTAAATCTAAAGGTTTCTTAGCAATTTTGGGTTTTTTTTAGTGACTTATTCTATGTTACTTTCGATAAACACATCATGGGCATATACACTCACATCAACATACTTTATTTCATTTCTTTTCAAGATATCCCTGACATGCCAAATTTCAACAGAAACAGTCATTAGACATTTTTCAGACTTTTCACGTCGATAGATCATTCTATACAAATTTCCGTCCCTTTCATCAATTGCTACAATATCATCATCGTCTGGATTTTTAAAAATAGATTTTTCCGCATCTGCGCATTGCACATAATCTTTATCTAAAATTTGAGTGACAGAAAAAAGATTAAAAGTCATCTTTGAAACATACAAGACATTCTTCAATATTACTTTGATACCAATCAGTTCCATTAAAAGCTTCACCAATTCCTATTCCTTTCAGTTGAGTAGAATCTCCAATAATAATCATGGTAGGTGCTTCAAGTGCAACAAACAAGCGTCTGCGGATCACACGGAGGCAACGCCACGAATACAGCGCCCATAACGTTTTTGCTTCTTGTTTATTGACGCCTCCACCTCCTTGTCCTGAATCCTGATGAATATTTATTGTTATATTCTAGGATTATTTTGCAATTTCCATTTCGTAAAATATCGATTATTATCGATAATATTTAACTAAAAATTTTAGAAAGACTGATGAGAATTAATTTTTTTGGGATGGGGTATCAAGCCCAAGCCAGAACCCGCGTACAAAAAAATAATTGATGTCAGGTGAAACAATCCAATGATACATGGCCCTTCGCCCTCCACAGTTGATTTGTAGGCTGTATCACAACCAATCTGTTTCTGTAAGATTTTGAAAGACACAGTGTTTAATCTAGATTGTTAAATAATAGCTATTTATATAAATAGCATTAAATAACAAGTACAATAAAGAAAGGCTTTATTGTACGAATAATTTTATGACCGAGCGAGCTTGCGAGCGAGGCTATTAAATAATAAGTCAATATTCAATAAAGCCTGTTTATGTAAGCGTAATAGGTACAGGGTGTTTGTTTATTAATGGAACACTCAGTAACTTTTTTATTATTGAAAATAAAGGACATGTTCAAATTGGAAAATTTCTTGATAAATTGCAGCGATCTCAATCGCTACTACTATTTTTTTTTTCGCCATATGTATAGAGGGTGCGCCAAAAAAGTCATTTTTTTTAAATGGAACGCCCTGTATATTTTTGCATTTTTGAAATTCTTAGAAAATTAGCTTCACAAAAATATCAAACACTATTTGAATAACCAAAATATGTAGGGCGTTCCATTAGAAAAAAAATACCTTTTTGTCCCACCCTGTATACCTTTTACGACAAAAAAATATCGTCGTAGCGCTTAAGGTTGCAAATTACAAAGAAATTTTCCAACTTAAACATGCCCTTCATTTTCAATAATAAGAAAGTTACTGAGTGTTCCAGTTATGAACAAACACCCAGTACCTACATAATGTAAATTTAATGCGTTTATGTAAATTTCTATCTTGGTGATAAATAAAATAAATAATTATTGTACCATAGTTGTTTCCGTGAAAACTTTTGTAATATGTAAAACAATAATGTCTTTGCTGTCGGTAATAAAATGACAGTTTCATGGGCATCTTATGGACTTCATTATTTTTGTAGATGTATTTTTGTTGTGAATTGTGCTCTCCATGTGTTTTTTTAGGTGATAATTGCTCGAAAACTCCCTCTCATGTCATTGATAATTAATAAGACAAACTATCGAATTATAAATAATAATTTTGTGTCAAATAAATAAAGAGGCGGTAAACAAAAATGCTAGTGAACCTACGTTTGTCGCGTCGCGCCAAATTTTAAAAGTTTCGTTCGTACACTTTCGATCATATTCGTGGCGTTGCCTCCGTGTGATCCGCAGACGCTTGTGTGCAACAAAGTTTATTAATCAGTCCATACGAGAAGTAATATGTTGTATGGTAATTCAATCTTGATACCACAAATCATTACAATTCTGTTCAGAGTTTATGTGTTTCACATTCGCAGACCAGACTAACAGTGATAAATGCAAGACGATTTGAATTTCCAGTTTTCTGACTACTTGCTCTATTAGCTAACTTTTCAGACGAATTTGTTCTGGTACACTCCTTAGCAAAATGATCTTTCTAACTACAATTATTACAGGCCAAATTTTCTTTATAATAAGTTAAATATTTGGCACATGGTGCATTTTTACATAATATAACCTTTCTTACTACATTTGAAACATTCGACACTCGAATTTCCTTGAGATGTTGCTCCAACATGTGACTTTCCAAATTTGTGATTATGTTGTGAAACGAAAGTATTTGAAGACACCAACCGTCTTTTATTTACTTGCTGACTTTCTTTCAATCTGTCCTCTTCTAACCTGATACGTTCAAATAATTTGTTCAAATTCTTAGCTGGCCGACTAACACTATCCCACGCAGTTCCAAAATGATGCAATTTGGGTGGAAACATTTCCAAAATTCTAGTCATAATCCAACTTACTTTGACTTGTTCTCCTTCGGCCTCCAAATCTTCAGCAAATTGTTGAAGTGTCATACAATTTTCAATTACAGATTTGCTTAAATCATACTTAAAGTCAAAAAACTGTCTTTGCAAACCTTCAATAGTAAGTTTTGACTTTTTGCCATACAAAGTCGATTTACCATTTGATAAGATGAATTACAATTTGCAATTTTTATTGCTATATTACTGCCTACGTTCAAGCCAATTAAGGCTTGTACTTCAAGATCTTGCTTAATCCAATCTGAATTTTCCTCAATCAAACAATGCACAGAATTATTATAACTGACAAGACTTTCAACACACACCAAATACCTGACTTTTTGCTGACTTCTTGACTTGTTTGCTGACTTCCTGACTGGTTTGCTGACTTCCTGACTTGTTTACTGACTTCTTGACTTGTTTATTAACTTCCTGACACGTTTACTGACTTCCTGACATGTTTACTGATTTCCTGACTTGCTTACTAACTTTGTACAATCCACAATGTCTCACTTAGCCGCCCTGGGCCCATAACCTGATTCAATGCGGTAGATGTAAGTTTGTGGATGATCCAGTTCACATTGATAAATAAATGATTGTTTCTGTCTTGTTCGCAATATTTATTATCGGTGAAAAATAATTGTTGACAACGACTTAAATGTTCGTACATAACCAATTGAAGGTGATAAGGCGCCTAAAATAGAAGAAATAACAATAAAATTTTCTGGCACCTTAACAACATAATATGGACATTACATACCTTTTCTAAATCCTCACCGTTCACAATACTAGACACTAATTAATAACACACACAAGATTGACTAGCCAGGACAAAGTGTGGTAGCTAATTGACACGCAGACGATATTAATACAGACAAAAAGCTACTGCAGCATGACAAATAATATGACAAGTTGACAAAAGCATAGAATGACATATCATACCTCATGTTACCTGGCTAATTATCAAAACATTTATTAAATCTCAACATTATGTTAGTCGGGGCAAAGACAAATCCAACAAAACAAAAATCATAGAAATCGGTCCAGACGTTTTCGAGTTATAAGTTCTGTAACCAACCCGACTTTGTTTTATATATATAGATAAAAAAATCTAAATCTCGATCTAAATACATCCCAGAATTTTCAGTAATGTGAATCTATAGTTAATATTGATCAACTCTAAAATTCTGCCCAGCGCAGGCACTATTCGATCCAGAAAACATCAACCGATTCTTATATAATTCAAAATAATCCTTGTCATAATGAACTTAAAGCCTAGGTATAATAGATAGATTTTCGCTACGCTCAAACAAATCTTATCAGCATATCTTTGGACGAATTCTTCAAAGCAGGTCTATAACCATTGTGTGAATATAAAGAAAATGTTAGCAAGCATATATCCCTGAATTTAAATAATTGAAGTCCGCAGCACGGAAGATAAAGGACGACGCCTGATAGAAAATAAAGCAAATGCAACAATAACTCGTAACGACAGAATTCAAGAGCCTAGCAAACTTACCTACTAAAACGACCGACAAATACTAAATAGCCTGTTGACTAGACAAAGACAACAAATAATGCGGAGGAGTTGGGCGGCACGAAGCATTCTACGCATTGTTGTCAAACTTGCCGTATTCTTTCGGTCCTTTATGTTTCATGCTGCGGACTATAACCTTGCTGGTCTTCATAAAGACGAAGTAAGACCGCTGATACAGATATTTCCCAAAGAACTCGTTCTGGAGCCAAGCTGAATAAATTTTAATGTTTAAAAATTAAATTATTCAGTTCAAGCAACAATTTCACTAGGAATTTCCAATCCGAATGTTTGCCACCATCAAGCAACCTGATAATTACAGGCAGATAAATACAATAAATAAATATAAAAAAAGGAATACTAATGAAATGTAGAAAAGTTATCGGGCCAAAATATTATTATATTCTATAATTTTTATTAATTTAAATATGGCAAAATTCACCAACAAATAAATCTAAATATAAGTAGGTAGATAAATCCATCAAGGTTTAGCAGCTTCAACAACAAACTTATTTAATCTTATTTCCTAATAGCTTTACCAATTATTTTGGACAATAAAGGAAGAATCGTTTTTCTAGCATCTCTTGAAAATAACAGATCTACATGGTTATGAGGTATCTCGAAGATATCCCAGTTTGGTTTGTGGTAAACTTGGTATACAGCCTTAACGTTCTGTAACACAAAAAATAATGTCTTTGGTGCTCCTGTAATACAGAAATTTGTTTTACCTCCTTGCCAGCCAAAGTATCATAGAGACCATAAACCAATGAAATTGAATTTGTTATTTTACTTAGGTCATAATCCGGCGGAGTTTCTCTGCCATATCGGATCTTATTTTGTTCGGGACCATAGTCGAACATTCTAAATTCTGTTGAACGTATATTTTGCACGTAATGCATCAGAGTTTTGAAAGAAGCTGCTTTAATTGAGTTAAGTGTAACCGGAAATTTTTCCTAAAAATATTTAACCTAGAAATAGTTTTTAATATATGTTTACTACATACGGGTTCTGGTGGATGTGTATATTTTCCAAAAATAGTGGAAAGTGCAAGGTGGAAAAACTTGGCATTATCCAGACTAGAATAGAAGAATCTTTGGAGGGCAAGACTTTCAAAACTGTCCTTCGTCAAGATGGCGTCATAGCCGATTATCGGGAATATTGCCTAAAATAACATCAATTCAAACAAATCTAACGTTCAACAAAACATTACTGGGGGCACTTACAAGAATCTCATTCAAAGTTGCAACCATGTTACCAAGAATATCATCATTTTTCTTAAAATATATTGCTGGTGCCAGTAAAATGGCATGTTTAATGTATTTTTCTGCTTCCATTGGCTTTACCGAAGCATAAGCAGCTAGACCTGTAGAGCCCATAGAGTGTCCGATGTGAATAATTTTTTGACCAGTTAAATTTTTGATATATTCGAAGTTTGCTGGCAGATCGTATAGACCGTTTTCGTGATAACTGAAAATAATATCCATTATAATATAGTAATTATTGGATAAGAACACGTGTACAGGCTTTGATGCATTCTCTTTAGGCCCATTGTTGCACCAGTTTATTGATTCCCTGCTAGTTCAGCAGCATTCAGTTGTTTCCTAAATGCTTCCGCAAACAACAAGCGTTTCGTTACCGTTTCAGTGGATTTCTTTCAAACACGTGGAAATTGCACATAGGCAAGTCGAAGGATTTTGAGGTGAATTTTGTGAGACTTTCACCCAATTCATACCAATACGCAGATCTGGGGGATTACCATGGCAGTAGATTTACATTGGCTTTAGATTAGGGCGACACGTAAAGCCGGCATTCCACGACACGTGGGTTGGTGAGCCCAGATCTGGGCAGCATGGGAGATTAACATCGCAGTAGATTCACATTGGCTTTAGATTAGGGCGACTCCTAAAGCCAGCATCCCACGACGCGTGGGTTAGTGAGCGTAGCTCGTGACTTGCCGATCCACGCGCCGTAGGAGTGCTCGCTATATTTTGCGCGGCTTGGACTTTCTCGCTTCTTGTCGATAAATTTGCCTGTTCAGGCTTGGCTCCTATACTTTCAACGACGATTGTGTGGGATCGCATCCCCTTGCTAAGCCTCGATCAACTAGCCGATTCTGCATGAGACACGACAGCCCCAACTCACAAGCCAGGCTCGCCAAGCCACGCGCCGATGCCAGCTTAAGATTTTTGTGTCTGTTTGATGGGATACAGACTGCAGATTCATGATCTACAACCCCTTTGGTTGGACGTTCAGGATAGATGTAGATGTTCCACAATGAATTTAAAAGGAGCGCTGGAATGCAGCAGTCAAATTTGTGGAAATCTGTACTCGTTCATAAAAATACCTGGGTTAACTGTCTCTCAAGCAATCAGAAAAACTAGTAGTTTCACTAACTAGCCATACTGTGATAGCTGAAGTGATGAATAAACAGTTCTCAAATTGAAGCTTGACATCTGTGAAAGTTTTATAAGTTTGCGCGTGAAGCAATTTCCAGTTTTGTCACACTTCCATCTGAAATGGATTGTCTTCCTCGACTCTACCATTCAACCGCTGTTTTTAATGAGAAGAATATGGTCACCATGTATGTGCAACTTTCATACTCGTCTAATCCCAGCCCTTGGCTGTTACCATTTATTCATCAAAAAAAAAAATATTTTTGGAGGAACTTTTCAACTGAAGCTAACGAAAGACGTAACCTCAAATATTTTTGATCATTAGATATCAAACAAGCAATAAGTGAGTATACATAAATAAACTCTTTTACAATGGCGCCGAAGTCATGGCTACGCAAATGCCCATGTTATATTGTTTAATTTTACCTAAAATCCCAATACTTTGGATCACTAGTAGTAAGAGTTGCATGGGTACAGGAGTCACAATTTCTGTAGTTACCAAGCCAAACATCATATCCCTTTCTGGCAAGATAATAAGCTATTATAAAAAAAAGAATTATTATCAACAGTAAGACCAGAGTTACCCAACTCCTTAATTCTTAATATTCGTCCTTAATTCTTAATTCTTAAAAAGTTCAATTTATTTAACATTGGTGTTTTTAAGGATTAAGAATTAGGAACCAAAATTAAGAATTAAGGAATTGGGTAACCCCGGCCTAAATTAAGGCTATCAAATGTCTACTTACATATAGAATTCTCCTTATTCACCATCATGCAAGCTGCATCCGCTGTCATCCCATGTTGCAAAAATATCGGTTGTGATCCATAGGAACCATCCAAATTTTTCAAACGGTATAACGGCAGAGTATATTCATCTTCGGTGGTGACTTGGTGCTCTTCTAGGAGGAATCCGTTATTTTGAGCTCGTTCTTGCTAAAAAAAAAGTTCAGTAAATTGGTAAATTTAAAGTACATTTCTTAGTTAGTACACTGGATTAAACTCGGCCGATACAGTAAGAGGCATAATGGAATGGCCATTTTATGATTTTCCTTCCCAAACCCCAATTTAATATAGAGATAGTTTGGCCACGACAAAATTTTATTTTATACTAATTGCAACCCTTCCATGCAAAACATATCACGAACTTGGAGTCGGGCAAGTTTTTCAATATGTTTGTAGAGAGTTTTGTCACCATTTTGGCGATTATTTCCTATTTAATCGTTGAAAAGTCCACAGTGAATGTGTCGTGCTCAAAAACATGAATCGACGTAGTGTCGACGTACTAGCTGATGTAGAGGTAGAATTCAGAGTAGCAATGCTAGAGAAAATTCGACTGCTCCAACCATAGCCAGAAACAGGAATGTAACTGGACTAAACCTTTCTTTCTCTATCTTTTATCAGCAGACGAATTTACCAGTTTGGTTTGACTAAATAAATGCATAGTGGGCATCCACGTTTATTAGAGAGCATGGAAGAAGATTGCAGGCCGAAGGATGTTTTAACAAGAGACATGCACTGATTAAAATCCAGCAACTGCTTATTTTGCGATGGATCGAGGCAATGCGGTGAAATGAGGCAAATATACCAGCCATAGTTGTTGCTATTGATGTAGGCTTTATCTGGTGAAGTTTGGGCGGACGCACCAATCTCGTTTTGATTTGCGGCCCAATTGCTAAATAGAGGTATAGGATGCTGCCTGTTCTGGCTCCGTTTGCTTATCAAGTTGAGGAAAATTGTTTGTTAGTACGGTAACAGAAACCCAGACAAGAGCTTTATGAAAATCCAGAACAGTTGGCGAACGTGTTGAGAGAATAGCGGGAAAATGTAACTATATCTACCAATGAAAACTTTATTGTAAGCACGCTCCGTAGTAATTAATTGTCAATAAATTTTTAATTTGTTTAAATTATCCATGTGATTTGTTTTCGTTAACAAACCCGTTCTTGACCATAGTAAAACTTAAATTTTGGTGCTATTCATAATAACACAAGTAATTCCTCATTTTAAAAATAATTATTCTATTAGGTACTTACTGCTGTTCCATCGACTTCAGGATCGTACCAACACTTCGGATTTGAAGTCATATTTTTGAAATAGGCTTCTAAAGAAATGCAAACATTGTTAGCATATTGAGCCTCTGCAAAAACTGCAACACATAAAACAGCGCAAAACGCTCTAGCAATCATGGTGTTAATGTGAAAATTCGTTTTAAATTGGCAGGAAAAACGAGAAAATCTCGACTAAAATAGCCAGCGATAATTGCTCGTTTGGGAATAGATAAATTATTTATTTATTCCCTAATAGGAGAAAATTGAATATCATATAAGCAAATGAGTTTGAACTTTGAAATAAAATAAAATGTGACTCCTATTTATAGTACGAGAGACGGCTGCAGAAAATCTGTCGTCATAAGGTGGACAAGCGAGAAAAATATGAATATTTGGGGACCTAATTAAGTAAGAGGATACGCGAAGGTTGCCCGCGAAAATCCTGCCGAAAGAGTATTTTTCAAAATTGTTCATTAGATAAATAATTGCATTAAACAATCTTTTAGAGGTGGATATGAAATGAAATCCTCATGCTGTAGGGGAGTGCGAGACGAATTCAACCGTATAAGGTTGCCTGCCCCCACCCTGCCGCACACCCCGGCAGCCTGGCTAAGGGGGTCGTTTTTTTATCAATAACTATCGTCATCAGGTGGACGCATAAATTAGGTCTCAAATTAAAGGTCTCGATCTCCTCTTTCCATCGAACTAAGGTTCCCTGCTCGAAACTTGCCGAAAAGATAAAGTTGCCTCGATTAAAGTTTCCCGGTGCGCGCCAGGTATTTGTGGAGCGCAAGGTGTTTAGTGGCGAAAAAGTCGTCTACAACACTCCGAAACGAGTTTTTATTATTGCTCCTTGTCACTTTGCGTTACTTCTAACATTTAAATTATCGATAAAAATTTATAAAACAATATAATCTATACATATAAAAATCAAAGTTCACGGGGTATCCGGGTATGCGCTCCTACACCACTTATCCGATTACGATGAAACTTTGGTAGGTTGTTATGGCCATCTCAAGGAAGGTTTGTGGATAGGTTACGCATCTCGGAAAAAGAAATTAATTTTGAATTAATTATTAATTTAATTGTAAACAAACTCATTCACATTACATAACAACATAACCCAACTTTTTTTGACAGCATGAAATAACGTTGACATATTTCATTTATTTAGGCTTGCATTCAACCGACGTAACTTTATTATTTTTTGAATTCAAGAACGGCTGGACGGATCTTGAATTAATACCACGTATCTCTATATAAGGTGAATTCGATTGACCCAGATTAGATCGATTTGGGTTCAATTTAAGTGAACTTCTTCTGATCTAGATAATTTTTTTGTTGATGAGGGTGCACTGATCCAGCTTGAATCGAACACAGTGTGGTTCATTTAAATTGAACCAGATCGATCTAATCCGGTCAATCGAATCGGCTATAGAGGAGAGTGATATAGGCTATTTTTTATCCCGAAAAAAAAAGTTCGGTTGCGTAAAACTCTGATACACTGGAACGCCTATAAACAGCCCGGGGCGCTCTAGAGCAGCTCTGGAGTGCTTAAAATGCGTCACTGAACTCACTGGCAAGCGACTCTGATATCGTATTAAAAAAAAAAAAATTAAATAGAAAATCAACAACAAAATTTGAAAAGAAGTGTATTATTTCAAAATGTATTTACACGCTGGCAACGCAGCGGGTCATTAGCTAGTACTCGATAAATGATAAGTCACTTCCACAAGTTTCGGCAGTTTTACAGTAAATTTCATCTACCCTCTACTTTCGACCGGGAAAAAAACATGACGTCATGAGAAGCAGTTTGATAGCAAGAGGAATTCAGGTCCATGATGGGAGGGGGTTGAGGGGTAGGTGTTGATTCGTTGCTTAAAAAAGAGGCATGAACTTTTTTGATAAGAAACGTTTATCATTAAAGTGCGCTCAATTGATAAATTTAACAAAAATAAAGAAATACAGAACTCAAGTTGCATATATTTCTTCATTTTGAAATTTAAAAATAGTTAAACCTTATTTTTGAAAATATTTTCAACAATCACCACCTGAATAATTCACCTGAGTAAATCTATAGATGGTCATAATTTTCACAACTGTCAAAAGCTTTAAAGAAATATCTACTTCTATGTTTTTACAAAGAATCTTATACACGCGCCGGAAAACTTTAAACGAGGCAGCGTTATGTTTTCGGCAGGTTTTGAACAGGCAACGTTAGTTCGATGGAAAGAGGAGATCAAGACCTTTAATTTGAGACCTAATTTATGCGTCCACCTGACGACGATAGTTATTGATAAAAAAACGACCCCCTTAGCCAGGCTGCCGGAGTGTGCGGCAGGGTGGGGTCAGGCAACCTTATACAGATGAATTCATCTCGCGCTACCCTACAACATGGGAATTTCATTTCATGTCCTCCTCTAAAAGATTTTTACTGCAATTATTTATCTAATGAACAATTTTGAAAAACACTATTTCGGCAGGATTTTCGCGGGCAACCTTCGCGTATTCTCTTAATTAGGGCCTCAACTAATATTCATATTTTTTTCGCAAGTCCACCTTATGACGACATATTTTCTGCAGCCGTCTCTGGGACTATTATTAGAATATTACATGAAGTATGTACCTAGTCTTTAGTTTCTTTTGATTTCCGGCACAAAAACATATTATATCATAATGAATACACATATTATGACATTGCAAAATTTAGGTTTTAAATTAACTGAGGATGTGCAAAATCTGATATCACCTCCTGGGAGGTCCTTGAAGGTTGATGTTTATCGCAAATTATTGGATTGAAATTATCTAGAAAAAGGGTCGGTCAAGTCAAGGGAAGAAGTCGATAATCGGAAAGTTAGTTCATCAGCTATTTGAGAATAATTAAGTACCTACAAAATAGGTAGTAATCTCACACATCTGCGAAACGGCAAACGTGACAAAATTGATGTTAAAAGACTGAGAGTGAATTATTTTGAAAATTTCGTTCTTAAACGAGTTGCCATTCTTCAAATAAATAATATAATTATTATATATTAAAATTATTGATAAACAAACAAATTTATAGGTACAAAGTCAGTTTAATATAAATCATTTCCTCATATTACCTAATTGATGAATTATGGGTAGCAATTATTGATGATTATTAGCTATTTATTTCCTATTTTAGGAATACCTGCTTCTTCTAGAGATTTTAGGTTGTATTTCTTAGGCTCTTGTCTACTTGTTTTCCTTTCCGTTGTCCTTCGCGATTCTTCCAGGGATGAAGATTTTTGTTTTCAGAAGATAGTGGTCACAACCACAGGTCGCTTCCCTATGCTCTCACATCCTGGAATTTTATGTTTGACCTCTGTTTTTCAAAAATATAGTCAATAGTCGATTTTATATTTCATGTGTAGTCATGTATTTTTTTATGCTGCAAGTATCCATTTAGAATTTAAAGTTACTAATTTATATTATTATCAGCCTTTCTCCATTGTTATTTATGTCATTCTCTCCAAATTTTCCTGCTACCTTGTTGTTTCTTCCTATCCGTTTATTTATTATTTGATCACTGAGTTGTTGGTAGCAAGCATTTTTCATACTTATCGGGTTCATTGTCGTTCAATACAAATATTCACAAAATTGTTATTTTCCATACAAACATAACATGCATTCAGTTTTATTTTTGTTTCATTTACAGCTACACATTAGGCAATAGGTTTTCTTTACTATTTTCTACGTATGATAATGGGCATGCTTCTGATTTTTTTTTTGGCCTATTGAATAGTATTTTGCTTGCTTATTCTTAATGTGCTTTTCTTTTTTTTCTGCGTTCCCTACTTTTTTTATATTAATTTTTGAAAACGGAACTACATTCAAACAGAATCCTTTCTGACGTCATAAAGGATTCTGCTTATTATTATCAATAACAGCTAACAAATAAAGTTGAAAAAAAGGATAGATTTTATCAATACAACAGATTACATTTGAATGGCGGATGTTAAGTTAAAAAAGCTGGTAGCACCGCATGTATAACAAAATTTTGTTGATTGGATAATTATTGAGATGGCGGCATGAGCATTCTAAAATAATGCCCCTCTCATTAGCCTGAAAAAGGCAGCAAAGAGAAGGTAAAGAACGCAAAATATTTTTTCGATTAAATTTCTAGTGCAATCTATCGATTCGCATATATTAAAACATGTTTTAAGAATGTAGGAAACATCCCCATTGAGACTTCTTTGCTTGCTCTTAATTATTTTTGATCTACGCTGAAGAAAAGTCACTGCTCGTTGGTTGCGGGATGCCTAAGGGGTCTGTCTTGCGTCACTTATTATTTTTAATATATTTGGATGACCTAAATTACTTACGGATCTAAGGTAAAATTGTTCAATAGGTTTTCCGATGACACAACTATTGTCTGGCATGATGCTGATCCTGAAATTCTCAGGACTTTAGTGAATCTGAGTTGGCTGTTGTGAGGGCGTAGTGTGCACCTAACAAGCTGGTTTTGAATGCTGGCAGGACTAGTATCCAAGGATTTAGGAGCGATGTTGAGAACCTCTATTTCGGGGAAGATCGTCCTCATAGTAAAGATGAGTGCCGTTTTTTGGATCTGCTTATTAACGTGAATCTTCGATTCGACGCACACATGTCTGTCATATAAACTATCATCTGGGTATTTGGCCATAATGGCCAAATTATGGATCGGCTGGTAACGTTATTGGCAAATTTATCCTGCTGGTAAAGCTAGAAGTTGCATTCAATTTTCACGTTATCAGTCGGTCCATAATTTGGCTCTAAGGCTGGGTAAGTCTGTTGCGTTTGTAGAATCACATTTGCGGTATGGCATGCCTTTTTCTTATCCCATGAATCGCTGGTGAATGCTGTTTTCATCTTGCAGAAAAAGACTCTGAAATACATGTACGGAGCCAGTTTGAGGGAACCGTGCCATTTATTTGTTTCAGAGAGACTCTTGAGTGTCTGTTCATCATATAGATATCTCTGTTTTGGTCCAATCGTAATGATTATGATGCCACCAACCATAATTATGCATCTCGTAGAAGACACAATATTCCACTTCATATTCCGTCGAGTACACTCACAAGGGTTTTTCCTTGTTTATGAGAGCAGAAGGGTCATCTGCCTGGGGCAATTAGGGACATGCAGGAACCGACCAGATTTAAGCGTAGTTTGAGGAAGTTTTTGCTTACCAAGCCTTATTAGAACTTAGAAGAATTTTACGAGGGCAATTTTCGGTTATAAGTTAAACATAACCGCACTATCGTAAATGTATGATATTTTTGCTCTA